GATATAGGGTTTAAATTATATCCGAACTGACCAATAACTGCTAACAAACAATTTAGTTGTATTCCTAGCGCGAAGGTTACACTTTTCGCTAAAGAAACGATTTTAATAAGTGTCGTTCGTTCCTAACCAAGGCCGAACGCATTACTTTCAAGCGACACGGAAAAGTTAAATATATGCATTTTATAAAAACTCGATATCGATAAACCGTTTATATTAAATCAGGTTATCAAGTCGCCATATCCAGTATCAGTTTGATTTGAAGCCATTTTCAGTTGATAGTGTCCAATAAAACAGAGATAAATGGGATTATGAAATTATACTAATGCGGAAAATAATAAAGTCATCGGTCACGCGATACCAAGCCGCGGCTTAGTTCAAGTCGTATTTTATTTGAGCAATATTACAATACTACAGCTTAATTCTCCAGTTTTATCAGTTACGAATTATAATTTTTAATTTAATAATAACGATATAAATTTATGGATATATTAATTACAAATGTATTGATTCATAATGCAGGAATTCATTTATACTTCTTTACTTAATGAAGACTTGATTGCCAAATAGATTACGGCAAACGCGCATCACACTAATTTCATTTACCACTCTCTTCTCAGCAGAAATAAATATTTTCAGACCTAGGAGAAATATAATTTGTATAAAAAAAATTATCGACGCTATATTTATTTACATTTCATTGTGAGTATTTGTATTTGTTTAAGTACCCTTATATATACAAATTTTAATATTTATATAGCTGTAATCTATACAATTAAATATTAAATAATATCAAATATAGCATGTATGAAAAACGTATATGTATATGTACATTATAGAAATAGAAATAGAAATAAAAAATAACTTTATTCTGGGACAAAGTCCCTTTAGAATAACAAAGTAGAACATAATTAAAATACTACATCTGGCCAAAATAAAACAATAATACAAAAGAGAAAGTAAAGAAAATATTAGTTAAACAAGCTATATACACTTAAAACTACGATAAAACACTTAAGACTATGTACAGTAGGAAAAATTATAATTATAGTACTTTGAAAAATAAAATAACAAAAAATACATTGAGTTCTTCTTTAAAATGAGGTGTGTTTCTGCTAACAAAGAAAAGACAAATCTGACAATATAAAATATCAGTGTCTTTAAATAATGATTAATATGCAGACTCATCATTGTCAAATGCTAGAGGTACAGGTTTAATTATATACCAATAAAAAATAATAATAAAAATAAAAATAAAAAAACAAACAATAGATGCGGTCAGTGGCATTAAGAGCCGGAAAATATTGTAATATATCTAGTGAAGTTGTCAGTATAGAATAGCACTGTCGTTTGATGATGACTAGAAATGTATAATATCGAAAGTTTAGCAAGTATCTGACTGTTTTTGGGATAGGAATTTGAATAGGAGGGATTTGAATGTGGATATGGAGTGTGGATTATGGAGTGGTATATATTGTGTTAGATTTGTCTTCGGTACTTGGAGGCGGTCTCATGTGTCCCACCTTTACGACGAGTTAAAGTGGCTCTTCCCTTCTTTCCGCAGACAATATTTCCTTGGATCTTTCTTATTCCAAACGACCCAATCAGAGCGAGATATTGCTATGGCCTTAAATGTGCCGCACACAAGCGTAGAAAACCATTTGCACAAGCTTGGGTATGTTTCTAGGCTGTTCGGATCTCTCACATGATTTTTGTTCGAAAATCACAAAAATAATGTTATTACTTTGAGAAGACTTTAGCTATCTGCAAGAAATTTAGCAGGAATTTAGGATCACATAAACTACACAAAACGACATCAACGGGTCCTTCGTAAACAAACAGCAAATGGAAATAAAAAATAAAAACCTGTAAGAAGTGGTTGTTTATTTATTCCTTATGTAGGTATTAAATAAAAAAACCATTCATACGGCTTTGGAAATAATTGTAACAATAATTCAGCATTCCAACGGATATAGTAACATCGAATTTGGAGAACATCCTGAAGAGTTATTAATTATCGGAAGGATATTCTACCAAGACAACCCTACCTCAGGCCCCACACCTCATTGGTCACCTGCAATAAATTATTGAGCCTTGGAATTATTTACATTTAGTTCTATTTACATCTGTTATTCAAGCTCGAAATATATCAGAAGTAATATTGTAACATATGAAAAAAAACACCCTAAAAAAATAATCAAATGATCCATTCGTGTTTTGAAAGGTTTATTGTACTACCAAGGACAGATTATAGGTGTCGCTTCGAGTGCATTGATATGCATAATCAGCTGATGTGGGCTTTATATTCTTCTAAACTGTGAGGCGAAGGTCTTTGTTCTTTCAATGTCCTCACTCCAATAATCTTATTAATAAGGAAAGGGAAATTTTTCACCGACTTTATATATATTCTATTTAGCGCATGAATTCCCCCTACTAAGGAATTTATTACTCTCGTCTTCTTAAAAACAATCCAAGCGAAAGTAGAATTACAATAATCGTAGATCATATACCTACAATTATAGTCAGTGGCACAGGACCCTTTTTATCAAATTATTAACATCCGCCTGAAACTTCGTAAATAGCTTAATCCCATCGTAATCGACAAATGTTTTATTTACGAAACCTTGGAATTGGGAAGTTTTCAATCTAGAGATCGGCAAACTTTGTATATTTAATTAGGTACTAACAACTGCTAAATACCAATTCTCTTCCAACTTGAATCGTAAGATAGCTTGACCACAAAATCCAGAAAAAATGTGGCCTTCAAAATTATTGAGTTGTTTGGTCTAGATAACCTGGTTATTTTGACAATTTGGGGGTGAAGGTCTCGCTAAACGACTCAATATTTTTAAAGGCTACCTCTTTTCTCGACTTTTTGCTCAAGTTATCTTACAATTCAAGTGGGGAAAAAGTGGGCATTTACGAGTTTATAGTACATTAATAGACAAGATTTGCCGACCTATTCATCTAATTGCAACCTACAAATATTTTATTTATGAATAATCTCGGAATTGGGAAGTTTTCCAATCTAGAGATCGGCAACCTTTGTCTATTTAATTAGGTACTAAAAACTCGTAAATATCCATTTTCTTTCCACTTGGATCGTAAGATAATTTGACCGCGAAATCGATAAAAAAGGCGGCCTTCAAAAATATTGAGGCGTTTGGCGTAACCTACACCCCCAAATTGTGAAAATAACGAGATTATATAGACCAAAAATTCTTAAACTCGTTAAAATGTGCACTCCGCCTCCAAACATCAAAACTCCGTTAAAATGTGCCCCTTTCAAAAATTTTGACGGCTCAAGTTGAGCCGTGAAACCTCTTCCTGGACACTCCTGTTACTCGTCATTCTAGTTAAAGTAGACAACCAATATTTAATTTTTTATATATTCAATGCTTTTCTGTTATGCTTATGCATTATCACAGATTCTTCTATGAACCAAATATTTTATTTATTTGTTTTCTCAAGTTAAAACTTCTTTAGGCGTGTTTTGCGCTTTTTTTTTTTTTTTGTGGAGAATGAATGAGCCGTCAGGTTGAATGTGTAACGCTCATTTGGGGAAAGTCGTCTAATTGAAGTGTAATGAAATAAGTGATGGAAATTTTCAGCATTTTTACATATAATTACATAAGCTCTTTGCAATGAGCTTATGTAATTATCATTCAAAAGTGAATATGAATCGTCATCGCTCCGAGAAGCAACAAGGAAAAAATAGTGTCGAAAACCAAATGGTAACGTGTTTTGTTGAACATGTGGAATAAAATATCTCAGAAACTAAAAATCGGACCTTCATTTTGTGAGGGAAATATTCAGCATTTCATCTTCTTTCTAATGAAATATTATTCAAAAGAGTATCTTAACGCGACGCCGCACAATCAGACGAGTAAGGGAAAACTAGCAACATCGACTGAATCATTTTTTTAAAAAAATTGAACTATTCAATAAAAACAGTGAAAAATGTATATTGTACCAACTGAAAATATTATCGGAAACTCCACAAATAATACTATCAATAAAACATAAAACATTTTACCTTTTTTTAGAGATATAAAAAAAATAGATTTAGAAAGATTCAAATAGATGTCGCTAGTTTTCACTTACTCGTACAACTATCGTCGTGTCAAAGAGGGAAAAAATAATGTCGACAACCCAAACGATAACGAGTTTTATAGAAGATATGAATTAAACTATTGCAGAAACTAAAAATCGGACATGCATACTGTAAGAAATGTTCAGTATTTCATCTTCTTTATAATGAGTTATTGTTTATAATTTGGAGTTCTAAGTGAAACTCCTAGCTGAACAAACCTCCAAGAAGAACACCTGCAAAGTCGGGTCGAAACGTTGGCTTTTAATAAAATAGTTTTGCCACTATTTAGCCTATTTATGACCGCCACACCGGACCATCTCCTTCCTTAATAATGCAACGGTCAACTATTAAGTATTAAATATTATAATTTATATTTCACATTATTAATCTCGCCTTGTTTTCACTTCTATCGTATGGTCTAAAGCACAAACCTTAGTTTTTTTTAACTTGGTTGACTGTAGTGAATAATGAAGAGAAGGATGGTTGTGGTGATCTGTCAAAAATAAAAAATAATATTTATTTTAATATTTGTCGACGTTTCGACCCGAAGTTCAGCCCTGATGAAGGTCTGAACTTCGGGTCGAAATGATAACATAAATATAATTATTTATTTTTGCCATTTTTATTTTTGACTGATCACCCTAACTATCCTTCTCTTGATTTGTTTTTAATTAATTAATATAGTAGATAAGATAATTTCAAACTAGAATATTACGATTTATTGGTCTACGATCGGCAATGGCGTGCTATGGCGAGACCATGGTTTGAGTAGGATTTGTGATCATTGCCCTTATAGGACCATTACGTAGATTGCTCGGGTCTTTAATCCAAGCTGATGAACCATAAATGCTAACCTTGGTTAATTGTGTGATTTACCACGCTTCGCCTGTTCGTGATCATCAGGTTGAAGATGGAAAAGGGTATTTTTACAGACCCATTTAAAGTCACGGGACGGTAATCACTTAGAGTGAATCTATGCTCTCAAGTCCACTTACTTATTTGTAAAGAATGTAAAAAAAAATTGCTTATTCAACATTGGTTTAATTTTTTTCAAACTTAATTAAACAGCTTCAAGTATTTTATAAATATTCTTCATACTTATTGAAACATAAAAGGGTACGTATACAATTTTCCGAAGGACTTTCGACTTTAATGACTGAATGATTTTGATATTTGTTTTCTTTGCTGTTCCCCATAGTTCGATCCCATATGTCCAAAGTGGTTTAATGAGGACTTTATAAATAGTTAATTTATTAGTCACAGATAATTTAGAACGTCTGTCAAGTAGCCTAGAAAGAAATCCGTATTTTTGTTTTATGTGGTATGTCCATGTCAGTTGTTTGTCCAAGTGGAGACCCAAATATCGTACAGTTTTTGAAGGTGGTAGAGCGATATTATTAAAGAACACTGGAAAACAAGAGTCATATTTAAGTGTAAATGAAACAAATTGGCTCTTAGACTCGTTCATTTTTATTCTCCACCTTTTAGCTCAACAAGCTATGTCGACTAGGTGTTCTTGAAGTACCTGAGAAGCCTTAGCTGCATCCTTGTCAGACGTTAATATTGCCGAGTCACCAGCAAATGCAGCCAACAGTGTTTCAGAATGTTCTGGGATGTCTGTACAGTAAATGTTGAAAAGTGTTGGACCCAAGACCCCCATACTTATGGAATAAAATAAATCATGGTCCTTTTCTACCTTAAGCACACCTGTGACGCTATCTTTTTCCAATTTCACTTCTTTAAATCGACGTCGTGTTAAGATACAATTTTGAACAATAGTTCATTGCAAAGAGGATGAAACTCTAAATATATCTCTAGCTTACAGTATACAGATCCGATTTTTAGTTTCTGAGATATCTTAATCCATATCTTCAATAAAATCCGTTGGTTGGTTGTTTTGATGTTATAGGCGCCAAACACCTAGGTCGTCAGCGTCTTTTCCATAAAAATATTATTTCTATTTTTTATATAAATTAGGCCATTATTTTAAAAGAAACCGCAAAATTTACTTAAATATTCCGTAGCGTTTATATAAAATAATTTCTTTTCACGCGATCGTTTGTATTTGTTTAATAGAGGGAAATATTTAAAGAAGTGAAAGCAAACTTCAAGAGCCAAGAAAAAGTTTATATAAACATTAGTCAGGCTTTCGGAGGGAAACTAGGAAATATAAGTTTTTGAAGGAAGCCGACTGTTTTATATAACATGGGTGATAAATATTCAAGAAGGAGACATTCTGAAGTTTTTATTAGTGCCGGCGTTTTAACCAGGTGTTCAAGTACTACCTTCAGTGCTCGAAACATGCCCTCATGGATGATATACATTTTTGGGCACTAATAAAAACTTCAGAATGACTGCGTCCTGAATACATTTATCACCCATAAAAGTTTACGTTTTATGTATATATTTTTTTTAAGTCCGTCATGTTTTTTGTTGAATAGGAAGCGACAACTAAAGAAATATTTATTTTAAGTAATTAATTAATTAACCATTACTTCACTGTGAAGTAGATACAATTTACTTCAAATAAAATTAATGTTTGTCAATGATAAAACCACCTGAATAGGACTTCTGAGCGGCTAAACTAAAATAAATTTGCTTTTTAAAAAATTATAAAATATTGGCTTTTTTTTTATTATCCACCAACTATACTATAGTTAATGATGTAGAGATGGTTGACCGTTGATATGATATGAGAAGGAGTTAGTCGAGGGTGCGGTCAAATAAATAAAAAAATTAATATATATAAATAATTTTAATTTTAATTTTAATTTTTGCCTTATTAATTAATTAATTTGCCTTATTTTAGTTAAAAATTAAAATTATTTATATATTTTAATTTTTTTTATTTATTTGACCGCACCCTCGACTAACTCCTTCTCATATACTATAGTTACACCACTTTTAGGATAGCTTTCTCATTTAATAAGCTATAAGTCCATAATAATTAATTTAAAGTATATTAGGAAACAATTTATTCACCTTTAAAATATTTAAAATTCAACTTAAATTGTGTATAAAAATGATGTAATTATATACCTTGTCTCCTAAAAGTACCTCCCCAGAAGTGTTTTCCTAAAAAATCACTACAATAAATTATTGCAAAGTTTTAATTTTTTGTTATGACCTGCAATGCATAATATTAAATATAAATGCATTACCACATTTAAAAAAAAAAAAAAAAATTAAAATGTAGAAAATAATGATTTTTCGATTATTCATCATTTAAAATGGTAATACAGATATATATATATTTTTTTTATTAAGATCTCTGTAATAGAAATTGTATTTATGTATACGTAATAAATGTTTCTAGGCCTAACATGTACGTTTAAAATAAACAAAAAAAATACTTGTTTCAATTTCATGAAAACTTAAATATCAGGATTAAAATCATTTATTTATTCACTTGTAATTACGGATCAATTCCTGTTATAGAAATCGTAGTAAAAAATACATTTTTAGTACCATCTTAGATGATGAATAATCGAAAAATCTTTATTTTCAACTTTTTTTGTTAGAAATACTTTAAAGCGCTCTCGCTCAAACTTTTTTTTTTAATTTGTATTTCCCTCTACCCTAAAGAGTAGAATAATGTGGAAATAGAATAGAATAGATTTTAGAAATCAAAAGTGTGTATGAAAACAAATCATCGAAATCGGACAATAGCAAAGATACAGCTTATTGAAATTTGTAAATATGTTGGTTCCAAACAGAAATGAAGATTTAAATTAATTTTTGTTTTCTTTATCGATTATATTTATCGATAAAGTAACGATTGATTCCTTTATCTTTAGATACGTTGCATTATTTTATTTTATTATTAATTTGGCATTTGATAACAATATCCTGTACGAATTTTTCGCACCGGCCTATAGTATTAATAAAAGCTTGATTGATTCTTATTTAGACAAGTATATATTCAAATTTTAATTTCTGTACTTTTTTGTTATTCTGAATGAACTTCGTCCCAGAATAAAATTATTTTCTATTCTATTCTATTCTATATGCTGCGAATTCTAGATTTGGAAAACCAGACAATCTCTATATCTATACAAAGGATGTAACAACAAAGAATATCGCATATTCACAAGTATTATTACATAAAATATATTATATAAATATATATAGAAACATTTAATTTCTTTTCTACTTCTTTCTTTTTATTTAACCAGAATGAGCCACAGCAACGCGTGACCGGGTACAGCTAGTTTAAAATATAAATGCATCAATACATTTTTGATTTCAAACATCTATTCTATTCTATTTATACATTATTCTACCCTATAGGGTAGAGGAAAATACAAATAAAATTTTTTTTTTTAAAGTTGAAAAATTGATTTTTCGATTATTCATCATATAAGATAAAAATAAAAATGTATTTTTTACTAAGATCTCTATAATAGGAATTGATCCGTACCTACATGTGAATAAATAAATTATTTCAGTCCTAATATTTAATTTTTCATGAAAATAATTTAAGCAACCAGCAAGGAAGGGAAAGTGAGTTATTTTTTAGTTATTCGCAAATAAAGTTTCTTTTCTTTCATAACTTGTTTGCCTGAATTTTCGGGGTGATTGGACTTAGGAAACAATAGAACTGACAAAATAATATTTCTAACAAGAGTAAATTTTATAAGAGCTATAATAATAACTTCTATTTATCTTTTCATCTTATTTAATTTGTTTTCATACACACTTTTGATTTCTAAAATCTATTTTATTCTATTTCCATTCTACCTTCTAAGGTAGAGGCAAACACAAATAAAAAAAAAAAAGTTTCAGCGAGAGAGCTTTAAAATATTTCTAACAAAAAAAGAGTTGAAAATAATGATTTTTCGATTATTCATCATCTAAGATGATACTAAAAATGAATTTTTTACTAACAGGAATTGATCCGAATTTACAAGTGAATAAATAAATGATTTTAATCCTTATATTTAAGTTTTCATGAAATTGAAGCAATTTTTTTAAAAATATTTTAAACGTAAATTTTAGGCGTAGAAATATTTATTTCATCACATATAAATAAATACAATTCCTATTATAAAGATCTTTAAAAAATAAATAATTATCTGTATTACCATTTTAGATGATGAATAATCGAAAAATCATTATTTTCTACATTTTAATTTTTTTTTAAATAAAAAATGTGGTAATGCATTTATATTTAATATTATGCATTGCAGGTCATAAAAAAAAATTAAAACTTAATTTATATAAATATAAAATATAAGCAATAATTTATTGTAGTGATTTTTTAGGGAAACACGGGTACTTTTAGGAGACAAGATATAGAATTACATCATTTTTATACACAATTCAAGTTGAATCTTAAATATTTTAAAGGTGAATAAATTGTTTCTTAATAAACTTTAAATTAATTAATATGGACTTATAGCTTATTAAATGAGAAAGCTATCCTAAAAGTGGTGTAACTATAGTATAGTTGGTGGATAATAAAAAAAAAGCCAATATTTTATAATTTTTTTGAAAAGCGAATTTATTTTAGTTTAGCCGCTCAGAAGTCCTATTCAGGTGGTTTTATCATTGACAAACATTAATTTTATTTGAAGTAAATTGTATCTACTTCACAGTGAAGTAATGGTTAATTAATTAATTACTTAAAATAAATATTTCTTTAGTTGTCGCTTCCTATTAAACAAAAAACATGACAGACTTAAAAAAAAAATTATACATAAAACGTAAACTTTTATGGGTGATAAATGTATTCAGGACGCAGTCATTCTGAAGTTTTTATTAGTGCCCAAAAATGTAGATCACCCATTAGGGCATGTTTCGAGCACTGAAGGTAGTACTTGAATACCTGGTTAAAACGCCGGCACTAATAAAAACTTCAGAATGTCTCCTTCTTGAATATTTATCACCCATGTTATATAAAACAGTCGGCTTCCTTCAAAAACTTATATTTCCTAGTTTCCCTCCGAAAGCCT